TTAGTGATGAAATCAACTTTAAAAATGTTGTTCGTATGTTTTGCATCGCTTTACGCTTGAACTGTATTTAATTATCTATCAAAAATATCGGGAAACATTATTTTTCAATATTATACTGAAACCATATTAAATAATCTCCACAATACAAAAAGAGTATGGCGACAATTCTAACGAAAAAAAACTATAATTGTCACTGTCATGCTTGTCATCGAATTGTTGTTGTTATTGTTATCATTATATAACATTGTTTGTGCTTAGGTGCATGCGTATTGCATAGATTTCAATCGGCGTATTGTGTTTTTCTGAGATTTGTTTTTTTATGTGACTTGGACTGTATTTGGACTTTCGAAATCTTTCTCTGCGACTGTGGAGTAGTGCTTGCCTAAGACTTCCGAATCTGATATTTTGCTGTGGATTTTGGACACGATTCTGTCCTATACTGTGGATTTTATTTCATTGTATCTACTATCTACGATATTGTGATCAACGATGTGGAATAAAAAATATATAAAAAGTGTTACATATTCAATTAATATCCCATTAGTACATTATTAGAAATCCTTTTTTATACTTTATTATTGCAGTGGGCATTTTCAAATTGTTAAGTACTTCTTACAGCATAGACATTGTAATTTGAACTCAATAACTCTCGTCTGATAATAAGTATTTTGACGCGGTTGGTCAGTACCTACGCCAAAGAGAGAAAGAAAGAAAGCGAACTGATCATACGTTGTAAAAATCATTTTTTTTCGTCACTAATCTTCAGGACCGGTGTACTTCTATAGTTCCGTTCCACGTATTTTTTATTTTGATACAAAAATACTCTTGAAACAAACTTTTATAATTCGTTTTTGCATTGCTTGGTAGGACATAATCTCCAAAACTTAAAAGTAGAATATCTATAAATCCGGACTTCCTACAATATAAGAAATAAGATGAATCAAATCAAGAATGTAAACTCTATAATTAAACATGCAATTCATTTATAGACGCAAGAAAAAATTTCAACTAAAAATTGTATGGGAGTTCGCCATTGTGCTTTGTCCGCCCCGAACGACGACATGTAAAAGCATGGGTTGTACGCAGTTTTAGAACCGTCAAGATTCATCAATTTCACCTGTAAATAATGTATTTAAGGGTTCCACAGGCTCTTCTAAAACAGGAATGGCTACTTTGCTCCCAGAGCTACACATTCCCGCTCTTTCCTCATTCCATTTTAATGCCCCACAATGGTGACACACATTTTCCATACGGCAAATTTTCATGAGCCTGTGGCTATTGTAATCCAATGTCAAGTCATATTCAAAACCACATTTTTCAAATAACCCCCAAGCATTTCTGGTAAATGTTTGCCGGCACTCTGCTTGATGCTGAGCGACTGCGTCTAGAATTTGAAAATGATAATATAGTAGTGGATATTAATACCACAGTGTAATAAAAAATGATTTATTTTATCGATCTTTATAAAATAGATTTAATTTATGTTATGTAAACAACTTCGATCAGTCTTTGGCTGAATGTTACTACACCCATAGCCATTAAAAATGATTTGTATGTTTTCCAAACCGGTAAAATCAAAAGTCCTTTTTAAATAAATACAAAGGTTTCCGTTGAAATCTAATGACCGTAAATTAAATTATAAATTACGCCAAGAATTACCGTGTATGTCAATATTTTTTGTGCATTTGGGCCAATTTGAGCAATCTCCTTTGTACTGACTTTTAGTTCTAGTTACGTCCGTTATTACAAAATTTAAAAATAACAATTCGCACTCGCAAACTATTCCAATTCGATATTGGTTCGTGCGGGTAATGTTCACAGGATATGCAAATGTCTACGAGAATATAGTTCGAGTGCGTAGATGTCAAAGTCGCGTTTCACCGAAACCGAGTGCAACTTTTCACTATGACATTTAAATTTTTACTAAAAATGTATGAAACAGATGGAATCGTTGCGCCATCGATGGTTAGCGCGTTCGGCTGCAATCACTGAAGTTAGGCAACTTTCGCAGTGGTCGGTCATTGGATGGGTGACCAAAAATCTTCTATCTCGAGTTAAATAAATAAATAAATATTACCAACACTCACACCAATTAGCCTAGCCCCAAAGTAAGCACTGTAAGGCCTGTGTTATGGGATACTAGGGTAACGGATAGAATACATATACTGTACATATATAAGTTTATTTATATAGAAATACATATTAAACATCCATCCATTAGTGTTGGAAATATTTATTATTTATTTATTTATGACTGGAGTACAAATGCTCGTATTCATCATACAAATATCTGCCCCCGCCGGGATTCGAACCCGGAACCTCTCGAGTCGGCGACACCATGAAAGCCGGCGTACAAAACACTCGGCCAAGGAGGTCGTCAAAGTTCCTCCGTACTTCGGAAGGCACGTTAAGCCGTTGGTCCCGGTTGCATCTGCAAAAGCACCCGCCAATCCGCACTGGGCCCGCGTGGTGGGTCATGGCCCAATATCCATATTCCACCCACAGGGAAGGCCTGTGCCCCAGCAATGGGGACATTAATAGGCTGATGATGATGATGATGTTTGAAACATAATGTCTATATGATTGACGTAGGCATGGACTTATGACGTAGGTTCCAATTTCCATCCGCCGTGAAGTGGCCGTGATGGTAGGTATGGAACGAAAATGTCAGTTTAATGTAAGGTCATTGATCTTGTTGGTAGGTTATGTATCGTGCGTGACGTCACATCCAAGCGTTCCAAAATAGCTAGGGCAAAGTGGCTACTTTTAACATTTTTAGTAATTTTATCATAAACATTTTCAACGATTCTTTATATTGTATAAAGGGGATGTAATTACTAAATAAAAATATTAACAAAATCATGCTTATATATTTTCTATTTATAAATTACTTTGATATCTAAAACCAACATTTTATTTTCCTTTTAATACGATCCGTTTTTCTAAGGAGTTTTTGGTGTTGTCGTTTGCTCCGTTAAGTTTGAGCTTCAGTACGCACCGCCTGTCCTGAACAGCGTCCTCCACTAGCAGTATTCATAAATAAAATTAAATTAAATACATAGCTAGTGAAAATAAATTCATGGTTTTGGCGATGTCGTCTGGTCCGTTAATAGGCATGATGACGGGGTACAGTAAACGAAATTCTATTTAGTCCCTCAGTTAGATGATCGAAAAATAATGGACACGTATTTTTTCTTTGGGCAATCAACCAAAAAATGACAAAGTTATAGCACGTTAAATTTTGGGAGTAGGGGCTCGTGACGTCACTTTTGAGTCAATTTTTCCTTATAAGTGTACTCAAACGTGACGTCATGCGACTTTTTAAATCAATATACATATCTCTGCAATCATTATATTATGTGAAAAAAGAAATACGTGTCCAATACTTTTTGATAATCTACCTGATAAACGAAGAAAAAAAATTTGTCATCATCCCTATAACTTTAAAGCCTCTATGACACGAAGCGAGTTTACAAGCTACAAGCCAGCGAGTTCGCTAGTTATAGTTTAGTTATTTCATTTCATAAAATGAATCGAACATTTATTTCATTTCATAAAAAAAACATTATTCTGGCGATGATGCAGACCTGAAAAGGCTGTGAAACGTCAATAATTAAATAAAGTTCGTGCATTAACCCGTTACAACTAGTTTCATTTTAAATTTTTCTTTAATATGACGGAATTGGGTGACGGAAATGAGGAACAAGTGGTTGATTTTTAATTATAAAAACATCAGTTGATCATATTGCACAATGCTTTAAAGATGAATTCAACGTTTCATTAGTGCATAATAATCATTTAACATATAAAAAATCAGGCATAACAGAATACAATTATACAAGCGAACGGCAATCAGAAAAATCTTAAACCATGCGAATGGAAAAATCTTCACTTCTTCACACTTGATTGGACATCAACCGGTTACTGACGCAGCACTACTAACGTATTCCGAATATGTGATATACATAGGTAAATTTTACACAAATAATGAGATATTCAGAATTTGTTTCTTAGGTTTTCACGCTCATCACTCATTAAATAAAACTAGTTTTTACGGGTTAATGCACGAAACTTTATTTAATTTATTGACGTTTCGTAGCCTTTACAGGCTACGTTGTCAAAATCAATTTTTATTTAATAATTTCAGAATTTCTTAACCAGTGACAGAGTTGGCTGAAATAAAAGGAGAAGTTAGGACATAGTTTTTGTTATATCTTAATAATAAATACATTTGATAAACTGATAATATTTTTATTAGCAAAATATATTTATGTTCTTTCAAAATATATTGACAGTAATGTAAATCATAGCTTGTTTTGGACAAATAAAAGTGGAATGTGTGATTTTGGTTAGTGGATAGGTAATGGAAATTAGAAGAACAACTTAGAAAATAATTTTTTGGATGATGTTTTACGAAATTAAGTAGGTATATATAAGAACATTTTATAATAAATAATTGAAATAGAACTGACTCCATAATAATTATCAACCACAACATATTACAGACTTAGTAGATACTAGCAAACCAGTGAATCAAATGTTCACCAAAAAAAATGTATTTAATTAATTGAGAACTTCGGAGATTTTGTGTGGTTTCGATTGAAATAGAAATCACGTGATTTCTCGAAAACCGGAAGTGCTACGTTACTCACATCCGGTTTGTAGTCTTATCAGACTATTCTTAACTTATAACTTAAACATTCTCTATATCTATCTCTTACGGTTTGGCCGCTGAAACAGCACCACGGACGGACGGACGGACTTGTCTATTAGATAAGAGATTTGTATGGACGCTCAAAAATCATGTTAGCTGACGTTTTAGTTTTGGCGTCTGCTGCGTCCTCAGAATACAGAAGGCTGCGGCGTCATGTTATTTGTGTACGGACTGCCTGTCGGGGAACAGTATGCGCGCGAGGGACCTCCACCAGCGGTATTAGTAAACAATTAAACTACATCGGTAGTAAGGTTAGCTAGTAAAAATAAATACAAACAATTGTGGTAAAAAACTGTAAGTATATTCAAAAACTAAATTTTAATTTTCCTTATAATAAGATCAGTTTTTCTGAGGAGTTTTCTCGGAGCCCTCTGCTGAGACATGTTTGAGCTTGAGTATGGACTGCCTGTCGGGGAACAGGGTCCGCCCAAGGTTGTTGCAGGGTGCCTCTACTAATAGCCACAGGACTGTAGCGAAGATGAAGGTAATCACCACCACGCCACAGGAGAAGACCGACTGTTGAAGGAGGAATAGACAATAATTATCAGCAAGCTTATATTATTTTTAACCGTAACATTTAAAATTGCTGATTAAGCGTATTCATTCAAACAACGACAGCATATAGCGGGTTCGAGTCCCGTCCGCTGCCTGGTCCGCGTGGATTTTTTTCTAGTAAAACTTTTCTTTAGATTTAAACATCTAGCAGTTAAATGCTTAAAAAAAATAAAAACTAATAACTATAATTGCTATTTCATCTTTCAAATGTTTAATACTTGAAAAAGTATTCATTTGACATTGTGGGTTACCTACAATGCGAAGAGATGGTGCTGCCTTGCAGCTTAAGGCATGGAAAATTTCGACGCGGCCATCAGGGCCGTGGTAGCATAATTGGTCAGTGCATTCGCCCGGATTGCGAAGGGTGCGGGTTCGAGTCCCGTCCTCTGCCTGATCCGCGTGGATTTTTTTCTACTAAAACTTTTCTTTAGATTTAAACGTCTAGCAGTTAAATGCTTAAAAAAATAAACATAACGACAGCATACTCTGGCTGAACATATAATCATGTTTTAAACTTTCATGGTCACTAACATAATAGTAATTTATGTTATTTAATAAATTGAAGAGCGAGAATGTGAACAGTGGTACGGGTATCGAACGCAATAAAAGACTTCGTCGGAGGGTAGACCGATATGTCTGCCAATAACAGCCTACCCGCAATTACTTCAGTTATAATGCGATTCAAATAAGAATAGGAAAACCAATGACCTCTATCTGTCAAATTTCGCTTGAAAAGTACGGTTTACAAAAAAAACGGAACCCTTTTTAGCACTCCGCTAATTCAAGAATAAAAACCAAACATTTGTAAACAAACAATACCAAATATTAATAATTAATATCGGTTGATATTTTTTTTCAATTACTGAGCTTTGGCCATGAATGGTTGATAACCTAAATCGTCAACCAAATGTCACTTTAAGTTGCGTTCAGAAACTCGATTTTAAACTTTCGTTTACATAAAGGATGCATGTTCGTATGTGACCAAGTAATAGTGCATGATTATTCATCTACTCCGGCGGTAATGCAGAGATGAGCGGAATAGAAGAGCTAGATTCTGATTAATGTTTTTTCTCACAGTCATAATAAATAAATATTATTAAAAATCGGTGGTTTTTGTTTTCTTAATCTAAGTAAATAAATGTCATTAAAAAAATCTAATGCTTTTTCTCACTTAATCTTAGTAAATAAAAATAAGTTTTATTAAAATAAAAGCTTTTTTTTGCCCACTCTACCTATTTGGTTTGAATTGACAGCTATGACGTCACAATATAGCGTCCAGTCGGTCCTATTCTTAGTTGAATCACATTATACTCCGTTATCATGGCGCTTGCGTCAGTGCCGAAATATCGGAAAGCCGCTAAAAACAAGGTACATGGTAACAATCCCATAAACAACATAAATGACTATAATATAAGTATAATCTATGAATTATGGTAAATATATTATAAGTCTACTTAGAAGAATATACAGACGGAAATAACCCTTTGACTGAAAGCGAACTAAAGTTTTTTAAAGTCTTAGATTAAAACAAAAAGAGAAGATACGGTACGCTCAAGCATCAAATAAAATATGATCCGACTCAACTACATAAGCAACTTTCACACACGCACACGTCTGTATATAAACATTCAATCGAGCGAGCGAGACAGAACTGTACCCCAGGCAACAATACAGCTCAGCCGTACGAACTCGGGAAACGGACTCGCCATTTCGCTCGCGCTAAGATGAAGCGTACAGTACGCACGAACCATTATCGAATTCGAATAGTTTGCAAACCGAAATGTCAATGTCAAATTTTGTATGGAAACGTGAACAGCAGCGCCACAAAGTACGTAACGAGAACTAAAAATCAGTACACATTTGACAATGACACTTCGAAATCGCAAACGATACGAATTCGATATTGGTTCGTGCGTACTGTACGCTTCATCTTAGCGCGAGCGAAATGGCGAGTCCGTTTCCCGAGTTCGTACGGCTGAGCTGTATTGTTGTCCTTTTCTTGATAACAAAATGGCGATTACGTGAATAACATTCACGACAAACCGTGATTTTTGATAAAACAATATTTTTACAGTTTTACGAATGAAAAGTGTTGCCGAGGCATTCGTTATTTGATTTTGAACTATTTGTGTTCTTTATAAAAGCATTGAATCTAGCAGTTAGCAATTAAATGCTTAAAATAAGTATCATAAAGCAGAAAGAGAACTACGAACATTTTTTACTTAAGTCGCTTTCATTTGAGGGTGCAGGCGCTAGTTTAAATCACTTATTCATGCAAACGACATAACCAACTCTAATATCCTTAAATAGCAGCTGTAGTTTTCTTTAGAATAGAATAGAATCGAAACATTTTTATTTCTCTCACAGTAATACACAGTTCAATACATAGTACAATGCGATATGACAGCGCCAGCGTGAAGAGCAAATGGACGTGGCTCAGCATAAACTGCTGCCTGCTGCAGCCACACCCACTTCTCCTTAGATGAAGGCGAGAAATGCAAAAGAAATCCAACAGAAGTAGATGGTACTCCTCCGATCATATTGTGTGTGTGTGCGTTTGTGTGTGTGTATGTGTGTGTGTGCGTGTGGGTGTGTCTGTGATGCATGTGTACGCCTGTCTTTAAACTCACCAAACTCAGATCTGATGCGTATGTCAGCTGGCTGTTGGATCCGTAGAGCCACAATGCCACGACCATATTCACGTTGTAGGTGCAGTACGTGAGCTTCATCAGCGGCACCCAGCCCGGCCACTCCAGTATGCGCCGGTACACGTCTGCATAAGAGGGACGTCTTATAGCGATCGTAGGTGGCAAGGTCGCCATACAATATATTATGAATGTCTCGAGCCGCCTCACTGAACACCGAAACAGTTTGGAAGGGCCTCGTGGGCAAGGGCGGATCCAGCTTTGGCGCCAGGGGATGGTCATACAGTCGTGGTCAAGTCACAGTGGGTACAGATTGTGAAGTACAGATTGTGAAGTGGGTACAGATGGACCCAGCCCAGAGGGGGTCATGACCCCCATGACCCCCCCTCTGGATCCGCCCTTGCTCGTGGGTGGGGCTGGCGCGCCACATTTATGTGTGAGCAAATTCTCATCATCATCAGCCTATTAATGTCCCCACTGCTGGGGTACTGGCCTTCCCTATGGATGGAATAGGGAGACTGGGCCATGACCCACCACGCGGGCCCAGTGCGGATTGGTGGGTGTTAACGACTGCAGATGCAGCCGGGACCAACGGCTTAACGTGCCTTCCGAAGCACGGAGGAGCTCGAGATAGTAATTTTTGGTCACCCATCCAATGACCGACCACTGCGAAAGTTGCTTAACTTCAATGATCGCAGCCGAACGCGCTAACCACTCGCGCCATCGAGCTCCTCAAAATTATTTACTATTTACTTTTTTTTAGTAAATTCTCATAGCTTGACCAAAACTTGGATCTGATTGCGTCTTGAGCGCTAATTAGTTTGATTGTTTGATGTCGCGTCGTTTGATTGGCTATTATTTATTAGGTGGAAGTGTAGTGGGGGCGAGCCGGTGACATCGGTTCCCATACAATCGGTCAATGATCACCCTTCCAACCTCTTTCTTAAAAAACCGCTTTGTTACGTAACACGTTACGGCGCCAGTCCGTCTTGCTTCCCTTCGCCGCGAAAGGAGATAGACCCCACATCCCGCCCAGCTACCAGAGGGGTGTCCCCAGACCCACCAATCCCCTTTTATGAATGAATAATTTAACACTTTATTGTACACCATCAAATTTTAAATCACAATTAATTAATACTATTGTATTATAGTACAAACGGCGGCCTTATCGCTAAGAAGCAATTTCTTAGAGGCAACCGTAGTTATCACCCATCAATCCCCACCATCACTCACTTATCCCTTATTATCACACATCAATCCCCTTATCACCCTCGAGTCCTTATCACCCTCGAGTCCTTTTCACCCTCCAATCCCCCTTTTCACCCGCGAATCCCCTTTACACGCTCTAGTCCCCTTTTCACCCGCGGATCCCCCTTTTCACCCTCTAATCCCCTTTTCACCCGCGAATCTCCTTTACACGCTCCAATCCCCTTTTCACCTCGAATCCCCTTTTCACCCGCGAATCCCCTTTACACGCTCCAATCCCCTTTTCACCTACCAATCTCCAGTGCTCAAAAAAAAGTATAGTTTAAGTTATAACTTTCTTTTTACTCACTTTCTACCTGGCAAATTGCGCCGAATGATATGATAACCAACAGTATCGACCAAGCAGGCTTCTGGAAAATTGCGTAGAAGACCCTGACGGCCATGTGAGCCTGGTCCGGACCCTCCATGTGTATCAGGAACGCGTTCATGTACACGTTCATCAGGAGCACAGGGAAAGTCAGCCAATACCAAAATGCGTATTTCTGAAAGAAAAGATTATTATTATTAAACTCAGATCCGTCTTTCCCAGTGGGCACCTTGGGCAAGTGCTCAGAGACCCGCGATTGATAGGGGGCCCCTCAGATCAAATACAAAGTCCCTAGTTCCTGTTAAATCACCAAAAGGAAGTCATAGGGGCCCCATTATCCTAAAATGCCCAGGGCCTCCAATAGGTCAAAGACGGCACTGATAATACTAATTAAATAAACCAAGTTTCAACGGTATAGATGAACTGATTTATTTATTTATTGCCGTTTCTCATCCTTTTCAGGATGCGTCGTCGTCTGAATTATGAATTAACTAATTTAGACGACTCATGCTTAAAAGGATTAATACGATAATTAATACTTAATAATACGATAACGATTAATATAGTATACTAGCAAACCAGTGAACCAAATATTCACCAAAACCTGATTAAAAAAAATGTATTTAATTAATTGAGAACTTCGGAGATTTTGTGTGGTTTCGTTTGAAATTCGTGATTTCTCGAAAACCGGAAGTGCTACGTTACTCAAATCCGGTTTGTAGTCTTATCAGACTATTCTTAACTTATAACTTAAATATTCTCTTTATCTATCTCTTACGGTTTGGCCGCTGAAACAGCACCACAGACAGACAGACGGACGGACTTGTCTAATAGATAAGAGATATCATAGTTTAAGATTAAAAATCCGTCATGTGATGAATCGTTACAAAATAGCAATAATTTAAAGTTTACAAGCAGTTTTTTGGTCATATCTAAAAAGTAGGTTAGGTTTTTGTCATTTAGCCGCGTTTTAACTTGAGGACGGCAGAATTGAACACATTAAAGTATTGCGTGCTTACAACAATTGGGGGCGGAAAGAGTTCTCAACTTCTACAGTACGAGTGCTATCTTTACTTACCAAGTATCGCTTTAGAAACGAAGCAGGTGTTTTACATCTATAACTATGTCCTACAACCCTACCCTACCTGATGTTGTGATGATGGAGTCTAAACGCGAAGATAGCTGGTACAGTAGTTTTACCACAGAACACAGTAAGAAGATAGAAGGGTGATCACATACCGTTTGTACGGGAAGTGATGTCGCCGACTCGCCTTCTCTACATTTCCACTTAATAGATAATAGCCAATCAAACGACGCGACATCAAAGAAACGAACCAATCAGTGCTCACATCCGAGAGCAACGATGCAATCAGAACCAAGTTGCTGCTGTGACGCGCCTGCACCACCTACAAGGCCTTTCAAACCTCCCACACCTACCACACTAGCCATCCTCACCTTGCCGGCCTGTAAGTTGCACTGTACTATCGTCTGCGTAGCAATGAATATTCCGAAGAGGAACAAAAGTCATTAATATGCAGCAGAAAGAGAGTGGGTGATAGGACGGAACCCTGGGGAACGCCGGCATTTACTGACAAGAACCGCGATCTGCTACCATCCGTAAGGACACGAATTCTACGCTTATGCAGGAAGTCAGCTACCCAAGAACAGAACTGGGCCGGCAGACCGTATGCCGGAAGCTTAGAGAGAAGGCTTTTGTGCCAGACCCTGTCGAACGCCTTGGCAATGTCAAGGCCTTCGACAGGGTCTGGGACCTAAACGCTCTTTTCTCTTCTGTAAACCAGAATCCTTTGAAAGAGGCGTGAAGAAGCAACATGCACGCCGGCAGGGTCTGGCAGGTAGAACTGCTGTATCAGCTATCTTCGCGTCTGGACTTCACCGTCACTTAACGTCAGGTGGGGTGGAGTCATTTTGTCGGACATATCTATATAAAAAAAAGATTTAGGATTGACTTGAGTCGTTAACCTGTAATTAGCAAGTTATCATGCACAATGGAATTTTAATATTCACGTCAAGACTTTAAATGTATTAAACAAACCTTGTATTTGCTGGTATCTTCAGGGTTCTTCATCCACTTGTACAGGAACAGTCCATACAGCATGCCTATCCCGAACGCAGGTATATTGGTGTGCGTGCGCTTGTACAAATAATTAAATGTTTCAAATTGGTAGTACTGCCTTTGGTCTTGAGCTATTCTGAAAATTTACCAAAAATAACGGATGTTTATTATATAGTAGGACCAACCCTCTATAATAAATTAAAAATTTTAAAAAATGGTGAGGAATACATTATTTTTAATAGGCAATCTTGAGACAATAGAATTATTTGTGGTAATGCCAAATTCAACAAGTAAAATGTTTAATTCTTTATTCATCATCATCATCATCATTAGCCTATTAATGTCCCCACTGCTGGGGCACAGGCCTTCCCTATCGTTGGAAGAGGGAGATTGGGCCATGACCCACCACGCGGACCCAGTGCGGATTGGTGGGTGCTAACGACTGCAGATGCACACCGCTGTATTAACATACTCGTAGCATATTCCAGCCGACAGCGACGGCTACCGGCGCGCCCATTCGATATATCTCATATATATCTGATGTCCGAGAGGCATAAATCAGCCATCGATACTGTTCCGTAGCGTAACAGATTTTTTAATAAAGCAACACATATTGGAAGATTGTATTTTTTTCTTTTTTTTTATTTATGTATGGGGTAGGTGACAAACCGTATTTTCGTTCTGAGCCTACCACTGTGCCTTGTGTGTTGGTACGACTTTACGGCCGAAGCCGGCACCAAAGTGCGAGTAGTTCACTTCGAGTCCCCGACGTGTAAGCAGCTATCAACAGCTCTAAACGAATTTCCGTTACATCAAGTGAGAGTACCCATTTTCTCTGGAAGATATCGTGAACCTTCTGACCTGTGGACTCCTATGTGCGATACATTGCCGGCAATAGTTTCCCAAGAGCGTTGACGAACCCCGTTCTGAAGCCTATCCCTAGGTACCCGTGGCGGTGTAAGGAGCGTTTGCGGTAAGTCGCCGAACCCCGGCTTTTATCATACATAAATTTCTTTGATCCGTTCGAACCGGATTGATATCTTCCAATTGTGTTGTTTTACAGTATTACGTACTTTCTACAACTTATTTTCAAATACGACAAATTCGAATCAGCCATCTTTGTTACGCAAAATGTCTGTCGAAGAATCGCCGTGTGAACAAGATTTGTTCGAAAGGGAACTCATCCTTGATGATTTAAAACGCACTCTCCAGTTCGCAGCGACAGATGTTCAACAATTTCGCTCGCGAACTACAGATTTAAATTCTCATCAACGTAAATTTAATAAAATACAGTCCAAAATTGAAAAAACCTACATGAAATTAAAAACATTTAACAAGGAGGAACAGATTAAGATTCGTAACGATTTTAACGATCTTTACTACGCCATTATTACGCATTTAAATAATTTAAAGATGATGGATGAGGAGCAGCGACGCATGAGTCGTCCGTTATTATCACCGTTAATTCAACCACAAGTTCATAGCAAAAATTTACCTACCTTGCCTTTGCCTAATTTCTATGGTGACCCTACCGATTGGCCATCATATTTTGATTTATTTCGTTCTTTAGTCCACCTGAACAATGCCTATACAGATGCGGAAAAATTTAGATATTTGTTACTCACGGTACATAAGGAACCGCACAATTTAATAAAGTCGATTCCTATCACGGACGAGAACTATTCAGTAGCCTTGGAAATATTGATATCGCGGTATGAGAATAGAAGGGTTATTGCCACTAAGCATCTCGACAAAATTCTCGATATTGAAACGTGCACTGATAAATCAACAAATAGTATACGTAATTTATTAAACGTTTACCAAGAAAATATCAAGGCATTGGAAATTATGCACTTTCCCGTGAAAGATTGGAGTTTTTTGTTACTTAGTATTTTATTACGTAAAATACCTATGCACATTCGAAAAAACTATGAACGTTCATTAACGAATTCATCCGACATTCCTAATGTTAACACATTGATTTCTTTCCTACAGCGAGAAATATCGGCGGACGAAATTATTAATTCCACTTGTGGGCAGTCGAATAATTTTGCCAATCCGCGCAGCCGTTCGAATCCTAACGACAAACCGTCACCGACGCAGGCGCCGCATGCGCATCGTTCATTCCGTTCGTTAGCTGCTAACATCAAATCAGTTTCGAATCCGTCAATCAATAATCGATCTAATGAACAGGGTTTTAAGAGTTGTTTATGTTGTAATGCTCAACATACGTTGACAAAATGTACGCAGTTTTTAAACTTATCCCCACAAGATAGATTTGCTTTAGTACGAAATAAAAATATTTGTTATAATTGTTTGCATTTTGGACATGATGTTAATCAGTGCAATTCAAGTTTTGTTTGTCGTACGTGTCACAAACGACATCATAGTCTTATTCATTTTTCTAACCAGTTAAATCAGTCGCCGTTCATTAGTAAAATAACTGCAAATAATGTTGTCTCGCTTCCACCTACGGTGCAGTGTGACACACCGGTCATCGCTGCCTCTCATGACTCATCGCCTTTAGCTTCCAACGTTGATAACGCTGTTCACAATTGTTGCGCTTCCAATGCGCCGTTAGTTCGTACGACTACGGTGCTATTGTCTACGGCGCTAATCGACGTATACGTTGGTGAGGCGAAACTTTCAACCGTTCGCTGTATTATAGATACTGGCAGTCAAGCTAGTTTTATGACTGATAGTTGCGCGCAGCGGTTGGGAATGATAAAACGTAAACAAGACATTGCAGTTTTCGGAATCGGCGATACTAAGGCGACGCGTTGTAGGGGTTTTGTTTCTTGTAATATTGCGCCTAAGGGTAAACAACAACCCTTATTACCAATTAATGTTTTAATTTTAGATAAATTAATTTCACAAATGCCAAGTGTACAGTTACCGTATACAGGCTGGTCTCATATACAAACACTTAACTTAGCGGATCCTACTTTCCATACCCCGCAGCCAGTTGAAATGTTATTAGGTGCGGATATACTACCCTGTGTTCTTTTAGGCGACGTTATTACGGGCGCGCCTGGAACTCCGATGGCGGTAAATAGCATTTTCGGTTATTTATTGTTAGGTAAGCTCGATGTTGAACACTCTCCGTCCAATATTAAAGTATGTTTTAGTTCATTCGATAATTACAACCTTCAGAGATTTTGGGAGTTAGAGTCGCTTCCTGAAAAACGGAGTTACACTCCTGATGAGGAATTATGCGAATCCTTTTTTCAAAAGACGCATACTCGCGATGAGACTGGGCGATATGTGGTTGCCCTGCCCTTTAAATCGGAGGCTTCCTCTCTTGGAGAATCTCGACAAATTGCATTAGCGCGGTTTCGTAAACTCGAATATAGACTCGAACGTAGTCCGAAGCTCAAAGCTGACTATCACGCGTGTCTTCAGGAATACATTGACATGAATCATTTGGAACCCGTTGAGGGCGAGGCGCTTCTAGGGAAACATTATTATATTCCACACCACTGCGTAGTCAAGGAGTCTAGCGTGACGACTCGCACTCGCGTAGTTTTCGACGCCGGGTGTAAGACTACTAGTGGCTACTCACTCAATGACACTTTACTGACTGGTCCCAAGCTTCACTTGGACATAGGTAATGTTATTTTAAAATTCCGAGTTCACGCAATAGCATTCACTGCTGATATTAAACAAATGTTCAGAAACATCCTGGTCCGAGAGGAAGACAGGGATTTTCAACGTATTTTATGGCGACAGTCACCCGAAGAACCCGTTCGTGACTATCGTCTTCGCACGGTCACCTTCGGTGTGAATTGTTCCCCATATCTCGCTTTGAGAACTGTCCAACAATTGGCTTGTGATGAGGCCGAGCGTTTCAAACTTGCTTCTCCTGTTTTGTTAAACGATGTTTTCGTTGACGACGTCACATCGGGAGCGTCTACGATCCCTAATGCTTTAGCGCTGCAGCAGGAGCTTATTGATATTTGTAAGACGGCTGGTTTCGAATTACGCAAGTGGCATAGCAATTCTCCAGCGCTACTCTCAACTGTTTTACCGACAGAATCTCATGGTGAGCGGCCCGATGTAATCGCTTTTGCCGAAATGGAGAAGGATAAGCAGGTGAAGGTACTCGGTCTCCAGTGGAACCCTGGATCGGATTCTTTTAACTTCAATGTACAAGTAATAACATCCAATTTATGTACGAAGCGAGTTATTCTTTCCGAGATAGCAAAAATATACGACCCTTTAGGTCTTTTATCCCCAGTCACATTGTATGCCAAACATTTGATCCAACTTTTGTGGATAGCTAACATAGATTGGGATGAAGCGCCACCCATAGACATTGTAAATTCATGGCATGCATTTATTAATCAACTACCGTTTATTTCCAAAGTATCATTTCCCCGTCACATATTTCCGGAACATAAATCAATTCAAATTCACGGATTTGCTGACGCTTCGGAGAAGGCTTATGCAGCCTGTGTCTATGTACGCCTTACGGGTAAGGACGGGCACATTCGCACTTCACTTATTATGGCGAAAACTCGCGTATCTCCACTTCGTATACTTTTAACGATCCCGCGCCTCGAGCTGATGGCAGCCCTATTATTGTCCAAGCTTTTACAACAAACATTAGATATATTCTCGGATTACGTTATTATTGATCAAGTTTATGCTTGGTCCGATGCGGCCATCGTGTTAGCGTGGCTGCGATCACCACCACACGAATGGAAAACGTTTGCTTCGAATCGGACTAGCGATATACTTTCACGCGTTCCTGCTGAACGTTGGCATCATGTTCCGTCGGCAGACAACCCTGCAGATGCTGCATCTCGTGGCATGCTGCCTGGTGCGTTTGTCGAACATGACTTATGGTTCCATGGTCCATCTTGGCTCCGTCAAGATCGAACTCACTGGCCCTCGTCAACAGTAGATTATACTACAGAGGAGGAAAAGCGTATCAAGGTTTCGGTTAGTTCAAATTTAACTTCAAGAGCTCCTATACAGGACGTGGATATTATTTCTCGATTTAGTAGCTTAGGAAAGTGCGTTCGAGTAACGGCTTTAATATTTAGATTTTATTTTAAATGTAAAAAATACAAAAAATCTTATTCGGACTATGTAACAGTGCCAGAGTACAATTTTGCTTTGACTAGACTTATT